GATACATGTTTTTGTCGATGAAAAGATGAGTGTTCTTGTGCTGAACAATAAAAATCTTTTATCAATTGTTTGCACAAGATAAGACACAATATGGCCTCTCCATTGTGAGTGATACAAAGACATGACTCAATGAAGTAGAGTGACTCATTCAGGAACAAGTTTTTTCGAAAGTGATGTCAATGTACAGCCACAAACAGCCACAAACAAAGCAAGAGTTTCCTCGGCGGGTTTGATATCCTCGATGACCGACAGACTCCTGCATCACTTTCGAAAAAACTTGTTCATGAATGAGTCACTCTACTTCATTGAGTCATGTCTTTGTATCACTCACAATGGAGAGGTCATATTGTGAATAGCCATAGTATAGAATATGATCTAGCAACGTTTGAACCATATTTCATGTCACTTGTCAGTGGCTTCCGATTTATTTATACGTTGCTAGATCATATTCTATAGTATATACATAGTATCCATAGTATAATGGTGCCGGTGAGAGATCACGAATTCGGATGGTGTGATACATGTTTTTGTCGATGAAAAGATGAGTGTTCTTGTGCTGAACAATAAAAATCTTTTATCAATTGTTTGCACAAGATAAGACACAATATGGCCTCTCCATTGTGAGTGATACAAAGACATGACTTAATGAAGTAGAGTGACTCATTCAGGAACAAGTTTTTTCGAAAGTGATGTCAATGTACAGCCACCTCAATGTCTAATACCTCATATAATTACGAGAACAACGCTCCGTTATCAACATTGAGATCATAAGCTAGTGCTATATACTTTATGTGAGCTGCCAACAATGCAAAATAGAGCCGAATGTTTTTCAGTTTTGCGCATAACTGGGTAAAGCTCATTGAGTTGAGTAAGAAAAAGTGTTTTTAATTTTCCAGAAAATCTTTTAGTTTCAAGAAAGCTCAGTTTGTTTTCTTTCTCGGCAGTTTTTCAGATATATTCTAACCAATGCACTGCTCTCAGCTCAGCTACGAACTAATTTATTTAGTTCAGAAAAACAAGAGTAATTTAATGAATAATATTTTCTGCTTTTTCTTTTTGAATAAGCTCTAATTCAAGGTCTCTCTCTTCTCTATTCTGCTTAATACTGGCACCTTACATAAAATATACACACTACAATCTTCAATTAATTTCTACTTTATGGTAAATCCCTGAAGAATATCTAGTTTACAGAAATCTCCACGACCTCTCCCACCTTATAGAAATCGTTGAATATCTAATTAATAAACAATGATCTTGAATTTCTATAAACTGGCACATCGATCAACAATTTCTAAGCAGAAATTTCTCCTCGAATTTCTGCTTTACAGAAAATAAAATGAATCTCTACATTCTTGGGAATTATATATAGACATTCGAACGATTTTCTAGAAACTGAAACTTCGCCCAGTAATTTCTAGGCCAACGTATTCACTTTATAAGAGATATAAGAGCGTCACATAAAGACACTGATATCACATTTAAATCAGTTCTGACCGTTTCCACTTTAAATCACAATTCTGCTTATGTCAGCAAGGATTTGATTTTAGGTAGAGACAGTGCCGGCACGAAAGGGTAGATTCGGAAGGAATGTTCCAAAATCGGAGAAATCCATAATGCAAAAAAGAATTTCTAGTTTCTTGGAAATTACTTATAGAAATTCAACAGGGAATCTCCAAGAAATCGAAGAGGAATTTTCAAAAGTAATTGACATGAAAACTGGAAATCCGAGGAGGAATTTCTAGATACTGGAAATTTCGCATTTTGATAAACCAGAAAGTGCTAGAAAGGAATTTACATTTGGATTCAGGAAGTGGCAAGCCAAGTAGAAGCTACACGGCAGTAAACTACAGTTTACGTCAAAATATGACGAAAGGAACCGGGCCGAAGTATTACGGCTGTCGTAAACTGTGGTATATGATGAAATACGACAAAATACCATGACAGTATACGATCATCGTAATACTTCGGCCGGCTTCACGACAAAATACGATACGAAATAGATACTGGAAGTTAATATTTGAATTCATTGAAATTCGCGCGAGCATTTTCTATAGAAAGTGGCAATACAACGATCGTTAATTTATGCTTAGACAGTGATTTCAGCTTCTCATGACGTCTCATATTTTTTTCGTAGCCCGATGCAAAAATCTATGAACCCAGAGAAGGCAAGAAAAACTTGTTAATGCACTTAGAGCATGGTGCATGAGTGAGCTACAACCTCTGTTTCTCTGTTTTCTGTCTGTCTTTTCAACCAATAAATTGACTTCTCCTAGTTTCTCTTTGTCTTGTCTAGCACTGTGTATATATGTATTGCATCTCTCCGACTTCTCTGCCTACAATTTACTTTAGAATGGAATCACGAATACGATATCTTAACGCTCTTAAATATACGCCAAATGAAACCATTAATGCAGGTTATGAAAGCGCATTAAAGGAATTTCCACGAAGGTATGTGTAATTATTTCATTTCCTTCTCTTACATGTTATTCTAATGATTACTGTCGCCTCCGCG